GGAAGGAGGAGGAAATAGCATGCTGGTAGATGCATTGGCAGAAACTTAGTTGAGCAGAAGTAGCTGTTTTGGTATGTAGATTTTTTTGAAGGGTGACAAGAGAGAAGATACACTTCTATTAACCAAACTGCTTGAAAATCCAGAAGTGTGCTAAACTGCATGCTAAGTGAATGATACTAATGAAGATAGTAATTGGTCATGATCACTAGATTACACTGACTGAGCTCCGGCAGAAATAGGGAAGACTAAAACAGCAAGGAGCTAACATCAGACTAAAAGATGTTGTGGCACAGAGTTTTAAGTGCTTCTTTCAAAGCAATAGCAAGACTTTTTTTTGTTGTGACTATCATTCCTCATGGTAGAAGAAGGAAAGAGAATGTTCTCTCAACAAAACACTGGGGAATTCAGCTGTGTATGTAGCTAATGAGATAGGCCCCACCATTTGATAAAAAGCTCAAAAGCTTCTGTGCATCAGCCCCTTACTGATCTACAAAAAACCAAAAAGCAAGTGATGTAGATGTCAACCTCTTTTGTGAGTTACATCAGCTTTAGAAATAGGTATCACTCTGCAAGGATTCAAAACAGACACTCCTTATTTTTCCTTTTCAGAAGACTGTCACCTTAAGACATGATCGCAGTTGTGCAGCTAACATCTGAGGCCAGTTATCTCTGCTTCCTGAGCCCCCCAGGCCTTCCCTCATGGCTGACCTCACTCACTTCCACAATTTAGTCCAAGGCCCTTTCCACAAGATTCAGGGAACATCTGGAAGAAAGCCCTGTGGGTTCTGGTTCCCACACTCACAGAAGATGATGCCTTCAGAAGCAAGATTAACAGCTTCACCTTCATAAAGTCATCATATTTCCAAAAGTATCCACAGAGGGGAAACACGCAGAAGAGATGACTACAGCTGAGAATGATTGAGAAAGCTACCAGCAAATGATAGAGAGCAGAAGCAATCAAAGAGCAAACAGCTGTCCAATATTAACAAGGCTCCCAAGTCTTCAGTTCAGGAAAGGTGGACCCAATCCTCCTCCAAGATTATGACTCAGTTTAAGACAATAATGAGCCTTATCTTCTTCTTTACTGAAGGTAAACAGAACATGGAAGACCAGCTGTTTGCTTTTCTTATTGATACATGTCAAGGAAACAGTTACAAACCTCTGTCAGACTATGTAAAGGTGTATTTCTTGGTAATGAGTTTCTTTAAACACATTAAGTTCATCTCCAATTTCTGTAGCCAGGACCCATTTTCAGGACCAACATTTCCAAACACAAATCCCATTACCCAGGCACCCTATTACCACAGGTGGGATGCTGGGCTAGCAAATGTCAATCTTCAGGCAACACCATTGCTCAAACAAGTGATCTTATGACTTGGAAATTGGCAATATGGGGGTTCTCTAATTTAGGAATACTAAAAAAACCCATGTCTTTATACAAGACAGAAAAATTTAGCAGGGCCTCCTACCTCAAAAGTTTTTATTTTGCTGAAAATGCTTGAGTGTATGAGACGTCAGCTAGCATTTTCCTTTTAAATCCTGTCACAGAATTGCATTAACAAGATGTTGAGACAAGAAACAGTCTTTTCAACTGAGGGGAGGGAGGAAGGGCTAAAGTAATTTCAATATTTAGAATGTTATTTGTTTATAATCTTTCAAAGAGACTAGTAGGGCATATTCTCCCCAGACCCTTCCCAGTCCGGTGTTACACGTTAAGCTAACATCCTCCTCACACACCCTGATGTCTGCAGTTCAAGATGTTTTGTATTCAGACTTCACAACATAAATTGTGCTAAAGTTGTATATGCAAGTTATCAAAAGGTCACACAAAAAAAGAAACACATAGGTTACGAAGGGCCCTGGCCAGCATGCACGACATCCAATATTACACAGCAGAGCATCTGACACATCTAATGACAGCAACTGTTTTAGCCATGCTGGGCTCTGTTCCTGTTTGTGTACATCAAGGGTGGGGAAAAAAGGTCTCATAAGGCTTTGCACTGCTAGATACGAAGAACCATACACACATGAATATCTCTGAATCAAGCTCCTTGACTGAGCAAACAGCAATACTCACCTTCTGATCTTCTGTGAATTCTGAGTTGTTGTGCTGTGACTGTGCCTCTTTTTGTAGATGCCTCGCTAATCTGGATGGGGGGGGGGAAAGACAATTGTAAAGTGGGAACACAACACAGAAACACACACACCTCACTCTCCAGAAAACATGTCAGACAAAATGTTCACAAACCGCTGCTCCAAACAGCTTTGGGCTTTCCTTTAACAAGGATTCCTATAACCATGATAGGTCATACTTAGAAAACCACAGAAGATGGACAAAGTATGCAACTACATTAGGGAGGAAAGACCATATATAATGTACCATGAAGGGAGAACAGGTAAGAAGGTCCTTCTAGCCAACAGCCCCATTTATAAGCACCGACCTTTTCCCCATCCCCTTATAACTATACCCCTTGCAAGACTCACTGTGGCACGAGCCCCCATGCATTTCACACAGAGAGTTTGATGCAAGTCAGTTCCCAGGAGGCATGGGTGCAGGCACCCTACAGCGACGGCAAAACGTTCTCCCAGAGCTGGAAGCCAGGCGCAGGGCGGCTTGGCCCAGGCTGCCGGGGTGTATCAGCTCACATTTGTGCCTGTCAGCATCACATGCGGAGCAGAGACCCCACCCCTTGTCACCACGGAGACAGGAGTACCAAGGGGTTTGGAGAGTTGCAGTAAGCAAACAGCTCGAGAAAGCGAAAGGAAGCCAGGGAGGGAAGCTACGGGAAGAGTTACAGTTTCCGTCCGGGGAGGAAAGAGAACATTAAACAAGAAGAACCTCTGGGCAATTGTTGCCATTCCCTGTAAATAATTAAGAAGAAAAAAAAAAAAGCAGAGGAGGAGGGGGTCAGGGGGTTGAGGGGAAACTCAGGGACAGCAGCAGTACTCAGGGCATCACTGTACACTTCCATCTGGAACCTCCCAAGTTTGCATTGTTACAGGGATTCAGCTGCTGGCCACTGCTGCAGTGGGCATGAGCCTGGTTTTTGGAGGGGGTTAAAATACATACGCCAAGAGGCATCCACCAAAACAGATGAGCGTCAGAAACAAAAACCAGAACTCAATTGTTCCTTTGCTTTTCTTAAAAATAAGCTCTATTAAAAAGACACAAGGATTGAGGCCACTGTAGTTTTGAGCTCCACAACCAAACAGGACGAGGTGACTGCACAACTCAGTGGTGTTGTGCCCCCTCATAAACGGGAAAAGATGGTGGCTGAGAAAAGACAAAAAGCATAAACACGCTTCAACCCAAATATACACTCCTTCCCTACCACCCCGCTGATATGATGACACAAGGGACATAGAGAAAGAGCATTTAAAAGTAATGATTTAAGAAAACATATCACCATAGCAGCATCATGGTATTAACATTTCTGCAAGCATCAGTAACACAACACTCTTTAAAAAAAAACCCTTAATCTAAATAAATGCATCTGGCATCCCACTTGAAGCTTATTCAAAGTCAGACCAGACCAAGTTCCACAGATGGGGACATTCAACAGGGAAGTCACTGAGGACAGCTCAGAGGGCTCCTGTGCAAGTAAGCACCTGAATGAAGCCACCAAGCTTCCAGCACTTCCAGGAGGAACATAAAGACCTGAGCAGACACAGGTCCCCTGGACAGGGGGAGGCAAACAACTGTGGTTGATGTCAGCAGCCATTAAATGAACTAGCTTAGATTTGGGAAGATCTTTCTCAGGGACAGCAAGCACACCACAGCCAGCTTCTCCCCAGCCTCTCGGTGTTGATCAGGACAGACCATGCCAACATTAGCAGCACCTGGCCAACTGCAGCAACACATTTGTTCATCCCATCTTAGGTTGCCAGTTGAGAAGGCAACAGCATAAAGCCATGCTGTTATGTCTCTCCAGGTAGGCAGGTATCATGCCCTGTGCTTATTTGCAGCTTCTACTCTATAGACTGAAATTGTTATTAATTTACCCACTATATCTACAAGAAGCAGACAAGCACAGAGAAAAGCCTCTGCTCCTCCCTGGGAGGATCTTCTCTACCCTTTTTTCTCCCTCCTGGAACTGCAGAGTTCATCTACCTACAACTACTCTATGCAGTAGAAACTCACTGATAAGGCTTGTAAGAGCAGCTTACAATGCCACTACCCGAGAGGAACCTTCTTACAAAGATATCTGCTCCAATGTCAGAATGAAGCAAGGGTGCGGAAATCACCTCAGTTCTCATCAGACACAAATGATGCTGGGAGGAAAGGAACAAAAACTATACTGCAACTCTTTAGCTTGCAACTAAATGCAAACATTTAGTGACCTTACTTCTCAATGAAGCAAGCTCAGAATGAGAAGCTTAGAGACTTCTCATTCTGAAGAAATGTCATTACATGAAACTGACTGTTGCCACTGCCAAGACGGTCTGAAGCATTAGGATCCCACTAGACTCCTCGCAGATGTCCACATAAGGGCAGTTATTAAAAATATCTTTTTACTTTCCAATGACTGTTTCTTTCTTCTGAGATATAGATCTGAAAGAGAACTTCTTTTCATCCCTGTGCCAAGGTTTGTACTAACAGCTTGTCCTGCTTTAACGACCATCAGCAAACTGCAAAGAACTGAACTTGCATCATCCTGTCTGGTGAGTGAACAAAATGATGAGATTATAGCATCTCATGACTATGCTGTACCAGGCCAGCAGTCCAGTCTGAATGGCAACTGAACTGGTAGCCAGTGCGGTTACAGCCCATAACTTGAACAGTCCTGAATAGTGCTAAAAGATCTCTCAAAGAGCAACTCTTCAGTTTACTTTCTCTTGGGGAACAAGTGCAAACCCTCTGGGCTTCTTCCAGAAAACTCCCCAGAAGAAACTCAGCGTGCACTACTCAAATCACAAAGAAATAGTTTTCATCTCATGGTGAACAGAGCAGGAGAGGAGAGCATCTGACTAAAGCTCCCAGGTGTGTTTCTAAGGATACCATCAACACTGACAATACTCCTCCGACACCAAAGGATTCATGGCCATCGTGGTCCCAGCCCGCAATCTAACTGGGGCTGCCAGCTTCCCCACTCCCCCCCCCATTTCACCGGCATAAAACACACAAGCATACAACAGAGGTTTTCACCCTGGTGGGTTGTTTGGAGGTTTTTTTGGGTGAAGGCTGATGCTTTGGCAGCCCATCTGCCTCACCCGGGTCCCCCTGCCCCACAAGCACCGTGCCCCGGGCGGACAGGGTGAGGGGATGGGGGCACCCCGGGACACCATGCTCATCACCTAGGGGCTCCCCAGCCCACCG